ATTTAAATTAATTAAATTTAAATGTTTATAGACTTCTACAATAAAAAATGCTGTTTGCTAGCTCGAAAATAGTTGCTTAAACTGACATCATTTTTCTATTCTATTTTTTATTTTATTTTTGAACTTCTATGTTATTGTTTCTTTTTATTTTTTTGTGGTTCAATTCAAACTGTTCTTTGAGTAACAATACTTAACGCTGGCTAGAGGGGGACAGCCTGCTGTGAGCAGCTGCGCTGCGAGCTGTTGCCTACTTTTACATCACACACACACGCACAGCACAATACTCATGCGTTTTGTGGTTGTGCGTGTGTTGCTGTTATTATTATTTTTTTTATTTTATTTTTTTTCTTCTTTATCCCATTTAGCAGTGGGAGCAGGCAAACGTTATGAACAAAGTCTCATTCAAGGCGAACGCGAAATAACTCATTTCATAGCACAGCACGTGCAAAAGTTTGCTGCTGTTGCACTAGATGTTGTTGTTGTTGTTGCTGCTGTTGTTGGTGTTGCTGCTGCTGATGCTGTTCTTGCCGTTCAAAAGGTGCTTTGTGCACAACTTTCGCCCAAGGCTGCAAAAAAGGCGAACTCAAGTGAACTGGCGGTGCCTGTCTATCTCAGTGTGGAAGAGAGGGTGTAACAAAACCAAAATGAAACAACAGCAACAGCAACAGCAACATCAACAGCAGCACCAGCACCAGCACCAACAAGAACAACAACAACAACAGCAACAGCAGAACACAGCAATAAGAGGAAAACATAACAAAGAGCAAAAGCAAAAGCAACAGCAAAAGCAAACATGCTAAAAAGCATGCAAAACATATTTACAATACGAAAATGCCAACCCACTTAGTGGTAGACGTGCAAAAGATAGAGCGAGATAGATATAGACACAGATGAGATAGAACAAGAGCGTGTGCGTGTGTATACTCGTATGTGTGTGCGTGTGTGTGCGTGTGCATAACAAGTCGCAAATAAAAGTGTCAAGTTGACTATTGAATTTTTATCTGTAGCAGCCCATCCAACTGGGCAACAATGCGACAGGCATAACTGCAAGCGCGACAGAGACGGACTGAGCTGAGCTGGAGTGTGCACATGAGCAAGAAAGTAAATGCAGCATGATTTATGAGCTTTGACGATTTTGTTTACCGTTCTCGGGCTAGCGCAGCAAATGTGATGAAGTCAAGGCATATTCGATTCATCAGTAAAAAATTCGTTAAAAAAAAAAAACTTGTATATTTTATATTGTATATTGTATTTATGTGTATAAATCAATGAGTATTTCTTGCTACATTTCTATTATAATTTTWTTTTATTTATTTATTTTTTTTTTTTATGTGTGCTGTGAACAAGCATTGTGCAGTCAGCTATAGCCGATGGTCGAGTGTTTATGTTTGTTTTTCATTTTTACTCTTATTCTATTACTATTATTACTTTCGATTAGCTTCGTTACGCTACCACTAAAAAAAA